TACACAAGTCACTTCCCAATTAGGGATCATAAGGCTTAAGGTGGTGTGATAAAGAATAATCTCTTTAGGACCAGTGGTGTTTGTGGCGATACTGGGAGGGTAGAGGGAGAGTGGGTAGGAAAGAGGGAACCGATTACAAGGAACTATATGTGACCTCCTCCCTGGGGGACGGACAACAGAAAAGTGGGTGAAGGGAGACGTCGGACAGGGCAAGATATGACAAAATAACAATTTATAAATTATCAAGGGCTCATGAAGGGGGCAGAGCGGGGAGGGAGGGGGGGAAATGAGGACCTAATGCCGGGGGCTTAAGTGGAGAGGAAATGTTTTGAGAATGATGAGGGCAATGAATGTACAAATGCGCTTTACACAATTGATGTGTGTATGGATTGTGATAAGAGTTGTATGAGCTCCTAATAAAACGATGAAAATAAAAAGAATAAGGAGGAGGATACTAAAGTAGTGTGGTCACAAAAGGCTTGAGAGAGACACAATCTGAAAAGGCCTGCCTGCATGTCCTTAAGGAGATGTCATAGGTGCGTTTGGTGCTGTGGAAAACGGAAGGGGGTTCTGGAAGGAACAGCACTCAGCTGCCTTGGGGAAAAACAACACAAAACACTTCATCGCGTTCAGGATGAGTTCTTGCTGTGACACGCTGGGCCCAGGGCAGAACACGCTCCCGGACGGGAGGGGCAGGACAGTGGAAGAGCCAAGGCGAATGCCGGTCCTCCGAACCATCGAGGGCAGCTGGCGGTCGCCGTGGGCTCCGCCTCGCCCCGCGTGAACGGCCCCTGAGAGCGCAGCGAGAGGCAGGACCTCAGAAGTGGACGTTCCACCACACAGCCGCCCGACCTCGGCCAGCGCGGTTCTCACCCGCCCCGGAAGTGGCGCCGAGCTGTACTCACTTCCGCTATCCAAGTCATCTCATCTCGCGAGAACTGAAGGCGCCTATGTGACCGGCGCTGAGCGGAAGTTGAGTCTCTTTTCCGTGGCGTCGCGGAGCGGTCGGCTGCTTCAGCATGAAGGTAGGACGTGGTGGCGGGAGACGGGCGAGGCGGGGGTGCCCTGATTCGAGCTCGGAAGCGCGGCGTTGCCGCAGTCCCTGCGCCCCAAGATGCCGACTCTAGATGGAGGGGTTTCTGGGGCAGGACAGGGATCGGCCCCCGGTAACCAGGCCTCCCTAGGAGGGCGGATGACGAGTGATTGCGGCAGGGTAGCGCCGCGCGCTCTGGGAGCGCCATGGTGGCGTCCGCGAGCACCAGCCTGGACAGGCCCGCCTGCTGCCCGTTTTGTGACAGGGTTGTGCCGACCCCCGGCGTCTAGGTCAGGCTCTCGCCATAAAATGGTTAAAGATTTCTAAGCACCCTTTTCCCGTGGGGTAATTTTTCGGGGCTTGAGGTCAAAGGTTCTCTATTCGGTGCTGTGCCTGTCCCGTGCTGTGCGCCCATGTGCTCTGGGGGACAGAATCCGAACCTCAAATTTCCTGCAGATGGCTGTGAGGTGTGGGCAGGCTCTTTGCAAAACAGTAGGACCCTTCCGTGGGCCTCACGGACCTTAATGTTTTTTGATTCCTAGCTGAACATCTCCTTCCCAGCCACTGGCTGCCAGAAACTCATTGAAGTGGACGATGAACGCAAACTTCGCACCTTTTATGAGAAGCGAATGGCCACGGAAGTCGCCGCCGAGGCGCTGGGCGATGAATGGAAGGTAAAATTTGACAAGTCACCTAGTGGTGGCTGTGTAAACGGAAGGAGATGGCAGAGGCTTTGGGTAGGCCCTTGGCCTGATGGATCGGGGCTGTGGATCGGCCGGTGCCTCCTGCGTTTTACAAAGTAGACCCATACCCTAGGGGTTATTGAGAGTAAACGGAAAGGACAAATGCCAAAAAAGCTTACCAGAACTTGGTTTTTGCCTTGTATTATGGAGTTTGTCAGCGGCCCTGGTAATAGCCAGAGTGTTTTCTTAAGTGCCAAGACTCTAGTGTTAAATACCCGGGGCCATATTGGGGACTTTGCTCTGGACCCTGGTAAGACAAGTTAGGAACGTGTTTGATTCAGGATGGTGTAAGATGGCCCTCTCTGGAATGGGTGGTGCTGTTCATACTGTCTACACTAGTGTGTTTCAGAATTGGCATAAAAGCGAATGTGTTGTGTCTTCATGCAGGGCTATGTTGTCCGCATCAGCGGAGGGAATGACAAGCAAGGCTTTCCCATGAAGCAAGGCGTCTTGACCCACGGCCGTGTCCGCCTACTGCTGAGTAAGGGGCACTCCTGCTACAGACCAAGGAGAACTGGGGAGAGGAAGCGCAAATCTGTCCGGGGCTGCATTGTGGATGCCAATCTGAGCGTTCTTAACTT